TGTTTCAAGAACGGGTTAATGTTGTTGAAAAAATATATTACAATAAAGCTCGCAACCAATATAGCATCCAAAGTTATGCATAGCACAGCAGTCTACATATTACAATTGTTTTATTAATTACATTAATTGTTAATACAATTAACTGCCTCTGTGGCCGAACAGTTTCCATGCTGAACTGCCACGCAGAGGTTCTGGTTCCCAGGCCGGGAGAAATATTTGTATGGCCTATATTTATTTATCTCGTGAGTTGGGGAGTCATTTGTGGTTGTCTATGTGTGTCCATGGCACCCAAGGTTTCCTTAGTGCGTAGCTATAAGTGTGTGTGTAACAAAAAATGTTTATCCAACTGGTAACTATTAGTTAAGGTAACAGTTATATACGTTAGACAAACATTTAAATGTTTATATAGGTAGTCATACTTGGGAATGCGCAATAGCTTCAAAAGCTTTTAACTTGTTGTAGTGATAACTAAAGTATACTCTATTTTAAGACATTACTGAAATAACCATAAAATTACGACTTTTTTGTTGTCGAGAATATTTGGATATGGGTAAAAATGGTGGTGAGATGGGGGAAATGGTATATATCATGGAAGGGCCCTTTTGCCTATAACTGCCCAGGGCTGGGCAATCAATAACACTATATGCCCATTACATTGTACCAAAACTTTACTAGTAACATTACATTAAAAAGTAACATATTCTAGTTTATGAATGGCTCTCCTAATTGACTGACGTTTGAATGAAAAATGTGGCCATGCAAACAAATATAACACAAGCAAAGAACAGGCAAAAAGCCGTACATGCTAATAACAAAAATTTGATTATAAATTATAACATTCCTATGGTACTGTAAAAATATTTTAGATTTTTTTTACCTGTAAGGGATCTGGCGGCGACGGCGCGGGGACGTGATAGAGGTGCGGCGGGGGGGTTGGCGTATGCCACGTGACCCCCCGCTCGGACGCCATGTGCGCTTGCGGCGCGCGCGCCAGGAAATTTGCAACCTGCAACTGCATTTTCACTCCTCTTTAACTGACTCCTATATTCAGACTATAATGTACTACTAAATTCCAGGTATTCATAAAAATAATATTTAATTTAGGTTTGATACTAGGCCTACTGACAAATAGTTCTTTACAAAGGCCAATGGCCGATGTCATTTACAATTTGACAAACAGTCATTTACATAGTTTGAATCAGAATTAGAAGTTCTATGTTGTGACGTGAATAATTAATAATCAAAACTGTAAATTATGCCCATTAGTGTTGTAAGTGGTACAATGTAGATAAAGAAGCAACATAACCCACTCCAGTTCCTACCAAAGATCCTAAGATTCTACAGTGTTAGTAGAAAACAAATATTAAAATTATTGTATTGGGAAGCACTGAGCTCAGTACACAAGTGTTATGTTCATAAAAATATAAACATAATAAAATTTAACTAACTGGTTTTAAATTATGTATGAAAATTGAAATTTCTTACATTTCATTGTTCATCAGTACAATAAATCTATTAATCATTACAGAAGGAAGGAATTATCAGTACGAACAAAGGCAAAGGGGAAACCCATAACACCCATACATTTTACTCATTTGGCAGTTAACTTAATGATAATCATTATCTACAACATTATATATAATAAAATTAATCAATTGTTGTTTATACAAAGTATGTAGGACACGTAAGTACGTAAGAATTTAGTAGGAGCAAAAAATGTGTTGCGTCAATAAAGCAGTTTACAAAGAAATAATATTTTACATAATTGTACATTATTTTTATTCTTTACATTACAAAATATTGTAAGGTACCTTTCTGAACTTAACAATACTTCGGCAATTTAACAGCTTTTGAAAACATAATTTTGTAATGTTTAATATGTAATATGATTAATTTTTTTTACAAATCAATAACTGTATGAAAAAAAGATGGAAAACACATATTATCCCATCCCTCCCGTCAAAGTAGCAAAGCCTCTGCATCATCATGTAACTGAGTTGTATTTCTTACATTAGCTATTCATCTTAGGGTCGTATTCCAGAACTCTACTCAATGCTCAAGTCAGGATTTGAGCAGACTTGAGTATGATTTCAAGCACTGGAAATATGACCCCAATGGCAAGGCTTTGAGTATGATTTTCAGTGCTCACTGCAATACTCAAGTCCTGAATCTGAATCTGACTTGAGTATTGAGTAGAGTTCTGGAATATGACCCTTAGACCTTTCATGGTCATCTATTCTGGGTGCTTTTAGACATAACCCTGTTTTTAAAATGAAATATATGTATAAATTAAAAGACAGGTCAGTAGTAGTATGAGTTTATAGTTTACAAGTACAGTCACAGAAAAGCGCAAAAAGCTGTGGTTCAAAAAAATATACAGATTTTTTCAATGACATTTCAAGGTTTAAGGGCATTAAGGCAAATGCAAATAATGCCAAGGATGACTCTACTTCAAGTGAGAAGTGATTGCAGCAGGTGACATTGATGAGTCATAAATAGACAAATTTTCCATGTAACTATTTACAAAAAGGCTGCTTGACATTTCCATAAAAACTTTGGAACAAGTTACTGGAACAAGATTATAGTAAGTCTAATTATAAAAAAAAAATAACATCTGTGGCAAATTTGACAAATCTCAAAGTTTCATATGCAAAATATACCCAAGGTCACAGAACAAAGCAAAGGAGATGTGGAGCCCACTGTACTGTTTGTACACTCATTGCCCTACAATGTCACTCCTAAGTAACTTGTCAATGAAACAGCTGATCTGCTGTATTATTTACATGATAACTGGCGCGCTCCACATCAATAGCGTGTAACATTTTTTAATGATTAGTTTACACTTGTAATAATGTGTCACTTGGTCGTGATTCTCATGAATCTAGACGGCATTAACAATACCATAACGGTTTTGCGCTGTTATGCTACTACGAATAGGTTATGATGAATGTGTATTGCAACAAAACAGGCCAATAAGCACCACCTGCAAGGGGCTCCATCCGGGACCCAGTTGCGCCTGCCGCCCGTTCGGATTGTGCTGCGAGCCGCCGGACATCGTGCACGGGCCGCTCGCGGCGCTACACACAACGCGTGCTCAACTGCCTCGCGCACTCCTCTCAGTCCACCATAACGATGCCGGCAACTTCCAAGCCTTCGCCCGCGTAACTGTGCTGTCTTACGACGTGTACATAAACTTCAGAAATATTTTCAAGAGCGCATGCCACTGAAAACACTTTCCACTGCATACCACAAGTTTCTAGATTCTAGAAATACACGTTCTCACTGTCCACTGTCACTTATTCCGTTGAGAATCAAGTTTATTTCCAGTGTGGTATGGTGTTCACAAATCTGATGCTCGCTTCGCGTGACATTTTGGGCGCATTTATTCCACAAAAACATACACTTTCGCAACACTTCAAGGGTAAATTCTTGTTAAAACAATGATGAACACTGCAGCTTTAAGAAGAAAACTTAGTATGCTGGCGAAAACGACCACGAAAAATGTAAATTCATCAAACTTGAAACAAATTCGTTTTCGACAATGGTGGCCGATTGCAATTTGAAAGCATATGCCGCACCATCTTGTGGAGGAATTTAGAACACTGTCGGTAAAACAGTTGAGCGGAAGTTTATTGTCTATTGTCCGTAAAACAAAAAATCTATTTTTTTTATAATAAAAGTTTTGTGGAAGAGATTTTTGGTACCTTTTACTGCATTCGTTGCATTAATAAACTGTTGTAGTTATTCTGTGTTTTGTATTCTCCTTTGACATGATTAAAAAAAAGTGTTGTTCATGGTTTACCGGTTTTTTTTAATTTAAAATGGTAACACTGAAGCGGTTACCATGACGACGTTTGTTTTGATTGTGGTTGTCCTTAAATGCAGCCGGGTGTTTTCGCTGAAATCTCTTTCATAACTTTTATATTAATCGGATATAGTAATGAATGAAAGTGAAATAACTAAGTTTTTGGTGTCCTTTAGCGGTCAAATAGAGTACATAATATTTCCGGCGGGAGTTTTCGACGACAATTTGTACATTCAGTATGACACCGTATGGGGTGCGGATTGGGAGCCTGTATCAGGACTTACTTTTGGGACCAGCCAAATGGCACAATCTGGCAAGGATCCTGAGAGAGTTGTTTTCAATATGCCACTGGAAATGGTCTTTAGTAGCACAAATGTCTCGGGCTGTAAGTGTTTCTACTTCTACAAGAAATAGTTTTGTACATTTGTTATTTATGTATTATTTTTAACTGAAAAATTGAAAAACTTTTTTAAGGCTTCTGTATGAAGGCATGTACGTTCCACTGGTCTACTCGGGTCTTTAATCGACAACCGATATATTTCGTGAAAAATGTTGAAACATACGTTACCGTACATACCTGTGTGACCTGAAATTTTTAATCGTTATCCTACCTTTTTATCACACTCTTTACTGGTTCCTGGCCACTTTTTCAAATTTTGAATCGTTCACGAATTTCATTTTGTTAGGCTCAATTCACACTGGCGCAGAGTCGAAGCGTCGCGCCGCGTCCTGTTGTTCAATTACAACTCTTGGCGACGCGCGTCGACTCTCGCATTAATGCGCCCGGATCACAGTGTCGTCGGCGTCTGACGCCTCACTGCGCCCAAGTAACTAGACTCCATATTTGTATAACACAAATTTGTACTTTAATAATGGTAAAATAGAGGTGAATATGCTATAGGCGAAAAACACGACGCGTCGCGACGCTTCGACTCTGCGCCAGTGTGACTTGAGCCTTACGTCGTTATCTCCATCAAAATTCTCAAAACGCGAGGACGTATTTATTGTTAAATCATAAAGTTAATTACGTGAAATTTGAAATTAAATGTGGGTGATGATTTATAAGCACGCGTTTTGAGAATTTTGAGAAAGTATATTTAGGGAGTGTTTTATACTAATTGTAGGTACTTTTTATATCGTTTTATTTGTTAAGCCGGCCACATACAGACGGAATTCGATTCGACATTCCGTATATACATCACACACATAAATACATATTTTTTCCATTCGGAATAACAAGACAGTTGAGACACGCGAGGCATTGAGTCCAGATGTTCTAGTAGCGAAAATACTTACGCAATTTAAGACTGTGAGTTGCGGCCCCTCAAAATCTATGGAAGACTTGCATTCGGAACGGCTTTTTCCGTGCGGAGTTCCAAATGCATCGCATGCAATCGGAAATAATTTCGGAACGGAATAGTTGTGATAAGTCCGTGATTTGTACGGATTTGCCGCCGGAATTTCAAGACGAGATTCCGACTGTATGTGGCCGGCCTATGGTCTTTTCATTTCTTCTTTTAAAATAAATTTTGTGGACCGAGCCTTCCCATTCCTTTCGCTAAGACTAGGCTATACCTGCTTTTTAAAGTTTTCCTTCACACTTTTTAGGGCCCCAAATTATAGTAACAGTGCGAGCACAGAATTCGCTAAGCGGAGACTCGCTGCGCGGATACGGGCTCGCATTGTTACCGCCAACGACGGGGCCACGGCGAATCACTGCGTCACTAGTGCGGCCCCAGGCCGCTACATTGCTAGGGGAATGGTTGGCGTGGGTTACAGGACGATACCCAGAGCTAGTTGACCCTAAGATGCTTGCTAATGGCAAAGAGAACTATTGTAAGTAATTATCACATTCTTTGCTGGTTCCAGGGTATTACTGCGTTCCAGTTTTGAAGGGTAAGGGTGCTGGTGACATTATAGGCTCATGGGACCTGTCAACTTATGTCTCAGGGTGACGGGCGCAGTGGCAGTACGCCTCAGATCTTTGCGGTTTAAAGAGCTCAGTGGCACTGCATATATGCAACTGTTATGGACAAGCGTGTAGCTTACCATCAGGGTTGGAAAAAATCATGATAAAAAAAATCCAATAAAGCACGATTTTTTGGAAAAAATCCTAATTAATCACGATTTCTTTTTATTTTTTCATTTTAAAAAACGTAACGTAGCGTAAAACGTAGTCATGTAAAAGGTTAATTAACCGCGGCAAGCTGGTTTTTTTGTTTAAGTATTATAATAATGATATTGATTTCTCAGATGGAACAGACCCTAGTCTTTAAAATATAATAGACTGATTTTTATGTTCATTTCTGTGAAAGAAAATAAAATGAAACACATTTAATTAAGTCACTGATTTTTATTAAAAAACCAATTTTATTTAAATCACGATTTAAATCGCAATGATTTAATCGTGCCAACCTTGCTTACCATCAGGCGTACGACTTCACTTGATTATAAAAAAAACCTCAGCGGTGCAAGCCCGGATTCGAACCCACGACTCTCTACTTGACAGGCGGTAGGTCGAACCATTGGGTTACCACGGTGTTTACTTGTAAGTAATAGTAAGTAAGAACCCGCTTAACTTTGAAACAACTCTTAAATAGATTAACGAAAATTAGAATTATTTAGACCTTGTGCATTTGCAGGATACTTAAAATATTTTTTTGTAATGGCAACGAATTTGAAAAAAAAAGTTTATTTGGAAACCGCAACAACACAAAATGAACTTAAAATATAAACGTATTTACAACTTGACCAAAATGGTGTCTATTTTTTGTGGGAAACGCTTAGTTACACTCGTCACATTTTAAATCACGTATCTGGAATACGATACCGAGTAGACGCTCTAAATTACAGTCATATATAAATTAGTTTTCCATTGTTCCAGTACTACGCACGGAATCCTACGGCAGTATCACCTTAAGTTTGACAATGGTTTCCAAGGACCTGCGCAAGCTAGGCTACGATAACCTGCCACCGCCGTACAGAGCCACCGATATTTGAAATTATAATGAATAAAACATATCTTATTTTCATTTGTAAAGTCATTATCATCCGAAGTTCACCTATTCAGTCCAAATGGCCGAACTACTGCAATTCCGCCTTAAAACACATTTTTAGTCTCTTTTTTCCCGTACTCTTTAGCTGCTACCTCCTCGCTGTACAGGAGTAGAAATTGATTTAAAAAGACGTGCGTAATTAGAAGCCTCTATGTACCGTTTTAAAAAAAAATTCAACCATGGTGTAATAAGGTTAAATGCAAAAGACAACTTTTTAGGGCCCCAATTCATTCAATTCATTCAATCAGAATAGTGCTGGCTTGCCAGTGGCTATAGCCATCGAGCGACTATTCAACGGTCATTGCATTTTTTCAAGTCAAATAATCTTTAATAATACGCATACACTCAACATAGCCCCGCACTAGGGAAACCCTGTGTCGCGGGTGCCATGGACACACATATAGATAACCACAAATTACACCCAAACTCACGAGAGAAATAAATGTAGGCTATACAAATATTTCTCCCGGCCCGGGTATCGAACCTGAGACCTCTGCGTGGCAGTCCGGCATGGTAACCGTTCTGCCACGGAGCAGTTATTACTTTATTTCATAGGTAAGTAAATTACACTTGAAAATGTCATACTGATTCAACTCTACTGCTCATTCGTAGGGCAGATTCTAGAGGTTGGTCTTTGTAAATATACCTACATTTGAATACATTTATCATTACAATATTTAATTTAAACATCTTAGATCGAGGCTACCTGCAAGAGCTAAACGGGTCACTACTACGGATTTTTGTCATTCAAGTACGCAGAAGCTGTATAAAGTTTAAAACGGTTTTACCTTTAGTATAAAGTTTTTGTTTCACTACAGTTTTAAACCTCGTAAATGGCAAATTTTGGATATCAACATATCATATCATACTATATCAACCGGAATCTTATAGAAGCGTTATACATTGCCTCTTAATGGTTATTCGTTATGCAAGGCTGCAAAGTTTTTGTTTGACGCGAGTGCTTGTATTGAAACCTGCGCAAGAGAAGGAACCTAGATCAAAAATAGATTCCTGAGCGTAGCGAGGGTTTCAAGCCACGAGACGCAAAACAACTTTGCTGCCGCGCGAAACACAAGTTTTCACCTCACTATAGCGAGGAAAATGATCTTTCTTTTAAATGCCCCATCGAAATAATCAATGATTTTGCCAATGTCAAGTAAAAATAACTATGTACGGTAGTTTAATATTATTATAAAAGTTATACAAAAAAATGGTGATTTCGTTTCGCCAATATCCTGTAGTTTTTTTCGGTCGAGGAAAATGATAGATGGAAGAAAAGCAATTGAACTTTAAAACATCAGTTTTTAAAAAATAAAAGAAAAAGTTTATCTTCGGATGCGTTCTGAATTTACGCCTCATCAATTTTTATTCTTTCTTGTACTTTTATTTGTGATAATTGAAATCATTTTAGTTCTTCAGCGAATTAAAATAATTTAATAAACACAATTACTTACCATTGCCAATTTATTGTCAACAATAATAAGAATGAAATAATAACAACGGATTTATATTATCTAAATAAGTAATGTACGACAAGGCGCTTATTTGAACGTGTCATTATTTTTTTTTTTCACTCCATCGTCAAGTTGGAATTACAAAAAGCTTTTCTACGCTACCGTGCTAAAAACGCTTTTGCGCGCAGATTTCTAAGGAGAAAGAAAGCCTTTTCGAGATAGTGAGGTGGAACTGAATTTGTGACTTTGTGAAAACGACAGTCAAGAACAGCTAGTTTATTTTGATTCCTCATATTAATGTTATGTCTGTCGCTAGTTTTCATAAAAAAATTAATATTGTACTTAACATCAATACCATTTTCATAAATGTACCTACTGTGACGTTAGTGTAAGAAAGTTAATCTCTTTTCTTGTTAATTTTGTGAAAAAAAACAGCATTTAAGTAATTTGATGGCTAAATTGTTGATTAAACGAAATCTTATTTATTATATACATAGTAATTTCCATGATAGTTTAAGTAAGGCAACATCGATCGTTAGTGATTGAATGAATGAATGCCATCACTGCCATTCCGCTGACATTCCATTGAAACACAATTTTTTTTCAATCCTCTAAGAACTCAACTGCCATTGCAAGTACATTTTAGCAGATTAAAAAATATTATCATAATTGCAATTTAATCTTAGTGAAATGTCGATGGAATTGCAATTGCAAGAAAATTAGCAGACTTGGGGTCCAAGAGCCCTCACTCTTGGACCCCAAGTCTGCTAATTTTCTTAAAGATTCTACTAAGAAAATTAGTCGATATCTTTTTAGGCTAAAGCATAGGAATTATAAAAATTCACATAATTGTGTAATTTCGCCGGCAATAGTGTAAATCCGCTTATGTAGTATTGGCAAAAGGCGCGTAACTGCTCGAAGCCAAATTTTACGAGATAGAGATTTTTAATATTATTTTGTTATTTCAATGGCTTCGACTGAAATTTTTAAAATTTATTTTATATATATATATATATATAATAATTTCTAAAAAGAAAACTTGGTAAGTTCACCATTTTTGCTTAGTCGGAGTTAAATTGCGTTTTATAAGTGATAGGCACACACCTAAGGGCGCCAGGGTTCTTCTTGTCCTACCTTATTAAGTTCATTCCTGTACAGTTTGTCGAGGACCACAGACATACAGACACGCGTTGGCAGACTGCTGACTTATGATCACATGTGGCTTTATTTTAACAAGATAGTACGATTTTTATTGGGGATAATTATTTCCTCAACATTATCAACCCGTTTATAAATACCACTGATGGGCACGGGTGTCCTCTAAGGTGAGTGTTCAGGCCATGGTCTGCCAACCTGGCCCAATGCGGGTTAGGGACTTCACATGTTTTTCGAGGGCTGTGAACCCGACCTGCAGTCTTTACAATGTGTTCCTTCACCGAAAAGTTCATGGTATATCACCCGCGGGACTATGCATGTGTGCATTATTAATTTCAAATTAAGTTTAACACATAAATTTCGAGAATACTCTGAGGTGCAAGCACGGTTTCGAACCCACGAGCACTGTTTGAGAGACGGTAGGTGAAACCATGAGGCTAGCCACGGCTTATTATATGATAATTATATCATAATGGTCAAATTCAAACAATTTTTTTACGGCTTTCATGTTCTTTATTTACAAGATGTTTGCAAGTTACATGGTTATATAATAGGGTGTTCTTATGCTAATGGTACTTGACATGTAACACCACTTTGTTAGCCCATAGGCTTTGTTCTATAGCCGCCTCAAACTATTTCATATTTCAAATTTTCGAGTTGATTTAGACACACTTGACACAGAACATCTGCATTATAATGAATTTGTTTTATGTGAATTGTATTTTATGACATGTAACCATTGACTTACAAATAAACATGTAACTGTAATTTACACAGAACATTGATTTGTTGAAACGAATGACGTTTAAATAGTTTTTTCATTAAAGATCGTGATAAATTCACGGCTACGGTAATTCCATAGTGTTTATACAGCGATGTGCGTAAATATGTACGGAATTACGATTTAATAATCACCGGAAGCGTTTATTTAAAATTTAGAATAATTGACACATTAAACATTTGAAAAAATGGAAAATTATTTTATCAAAATAATACATGATTCAACGTCTACTTATACATATTAATGTATGTGGTTTGTTTGTACGTACGTATGGGAGGACAGAGCTAATGAATAACATTTATTGAACGTCTTTAAAGCTTATGGTAATTGCGCAAAAGTATTCTTACATTTTACCTATTTGTTCACATTAACTTAGTAGGTAAAATTCTCTTCATGTTTACGCAGTTATTATATGAAAGTTTATTAATTTAATTATATTTTATTATTAGTAGCGGTAGAGTTTCTTATGATAGAGTTCGTCCATGGAAGTACTGCTACCTTACATAGTTCTGTCGCCAAGCAGGAATGTGAGCATTACTGCGTGCCAATTTTGAAAGGTAAGTGAAATTACAGGCACATGGGATTTGTCGACTTATGTCTCAGATCTTTGCGATTTAAAGCTCTGAGTGGCACTGCAACTGTTATGGACAGGCGTGCCGCTTACCATCAGGCGCACGAATTGTTCGTCCCATCACTTAATACCATACTTACTTATTTACTTCGGTGGTGCAGTGACCCAAAGTGGGTCTTAGCTTCCGACACCAGATTCTGCCACTCCTCCTGGTCCTGAGCCTGCTCCTTCCGGCCACTAGCACCGAGGTCCTTGAGATATTTCAGGACTTCATCGCTCCAGCAGTACCTAGGGCGTCCGACCGGCCGGCCTCCTTTCAGTTGTCCCAAGTAAGCCCTCTCCGCGGCACGATCTTCTCCCATTCTCTTCACCTGTCCGAGCCAGCGGAGTCACAGCTTTTGTTTCTCCCACAATATTGGGCCCGCACATTAGATGTTCAAACTCAAGGTTCTTCCTTGCCCTCCAGCTCCCATCCTCCCACTTAATATCATAAAAAAAATGTTTGTCTATCACGTCCAAAGCGTTTATTCTTCGCATCAAGTGATCCTGACTATTTTGAACACGAGAATCATGTTAGTAGCAGTAGAGCTCCTTGTGAAAGAGTTCGTCCAAGGAAGTCATGCCACTTCCCTATATCTGCTGCTAAGCAGTAACTTGAGAATTACTGCGTTCCGATTTTGGAAGGTAAGGGTGCTATTACAGGCACATGAGACTTTTTGACTTGTCAACTTATGTCTCAGGGTGACGGGTGCAGTGGTAGTGCTGTTCAGATCTTTGCGATTTAAAGCTCAGAGTGGTATGAGGATTATTTTATAAAACACTGCAAAATTGCAAAATTGTTTTTATTGTTTACTTAAATTT